TCCAAAGCAATGCCAACACAATTGATGGCAAACCTGTGGATCCATTCCTGAAGAATATCTACGAAACAAGTAATTGATTATTGATTTGAATGTAATGTTTGGAAATGTATTGAAATGAATATCTGTTTCCTATTATAGACGAGAAATCACAGAAACATTTGTCGGATGAGGAGACGGCTGTACTCATAGCTCACGGATCGCTAACTGGGACTCAAATAGTGGCCAATAATTACAAACTGGAAACCGATTTCATCGGAGGGTTTGTCGTCGGCTCGAAGACCAGAGTCCAAGAAAGTGTTCTTTAGATTTATAATGTATTTAAATAATTATTTATTCTGTAATTTTTTAAAATAAAAGTAATAAACTTTTATATTTAATTTAACAAGTATAAATAATATTTTATTTAGTTGTTTATAAAAATTTAATTTTAAATTTTAATTTGAAGTTAAATACATATATGATACAATATACAATATAACAAAAATCGGAAAATTAGTTGCAAATGCATCTTAAATAATAATACTAATTTGAAACTAAAAATATTAAATGAATATAGCATTACTTATAAAAATTTATAATTTTAAGATTAATCAATTTCAGTAAAAATGTCTACTTCATGATTTGTGTAACATAATTTTTGAAAATAATTTTCATCATTATTTCAATTAAATTCCATTGAATTTTTAGAAATATATAAAATATATAATATAAATACATAAATATAGGTACATAAATAAATAAAGTTCTTTAATTATAGAAATATAGAATTATTTGTCAAATATCATAGTTTAGATTTGAATACTGTATATTTCAAATAAGTTAATAGCAGTCTAAATAATATTATTATAGTTTTCATAATATAAGTAATGCGATACAAAAATTTACACTGAATTAATGTATCAAGTTGTAATACTATAACAGTTACTAAAAAAAGTAAATCATATTATTGTGCGTCAATTTTATGTTGAGATGTATGGCATAACAGTTATACTGTACTATAATTGATGATGATTGCCATATATCGTGAAGTAAGTTTGTATTAAAAACAACCACTATAATTAAATATAATTAATTTGACTTTTATTTATAATATATAATAGAATCTATATTATAGATTAATCACAAGTTTTATTATTTCAATTATTAATTCTATATGACATTGAAATTTTTGACAGTAAATAATATTCAAAATAAACTTTGAACTTTTGAAAGAAATTTATTTAATTAATCTGGATTAGAAATTATATATTAATTTAATTTAGGTACTTCAAAATTAAAACTAATAAAGTGAATTATATAATTGGAATTTAATTGTTTTGCTTTAAAATTATTTGAGTCTAAATTCGCGACAAAAGTATTTTAAGCACTATTTGCCGAAACTCTAGTCTTCGAGCCAACGATAAACCCTCCGATTAAACCGGTTTCCAGTTTAGCCTCATTTGCTATAATCTGAGCCCCAGTTAGCGATCCGTGAGCTATGAGTACAGCCGTCTCGTCATCCGACAAATGTTTCTGTGAATTCTGGTCTAATGAAGTAAACAGTAAACAGTAAACAGTAAACAGGGTCATCAGAAAATGTATGAATAATTATAATGAAATGAGGAATAAATACTTTTCTCGTAAATATTCTTAAGGAAAGGGTCAACAGGTTTGGAGTTTTCATCAAATAATTTGTCGTTATTTAGACGGGAATTCTGGTAACGGACTAAACCTCCCAAATAGTCTGTCGACACCTCAACCTTCTGGTCATTCCTCTGAGTACTGATAGTAACAGTTCCGGCAAAAGAGATCTCAAGAGCTAGACTTTCTTGAGAGTTGTCTCCCATTAATGACTTCAGCTCCAAGTGATCACCTGTTTTGCACATTATATTAAAAATATAAAATCCCGAAAATAATAATAATAAATATTAACAATAATTCATACCATTAATCAATTGAAGTAACAGAGTATTAGACTTAGTGTCGGTGCCATTAGGTGTGAACCTATAAATATAAAATACAATGAATATATAAATCACAACTCAATATATATTTATTCACTAAATTGTTTACAATTGAAGAAGATTTTGTGAGAATTGTTGCAATTGTTGGTCAGACATCACAACTGCGGTACAGGCCGTCAGAGTCAAGAGATAGACAAATGCAGACATTTTCTGATTGAAATGGTTTACTATTATAGTACTCTTTGAATACTAAACTATAAGTTTTTATAAAAAATTATGAAAATTATTTTTGTTTTTATACTTGGTCGCCACAGTATAAGTAAAGAAAATTATTTCATGCAAAATATGAAACAATTGCACTGTATATCTTGAGCGTACTATAATTCTAATCCTAATTTAGAAATGTAGATTAAATAAGGTCCAAATAGGTACTTTTGGTTTATCAATCATAAAAGATTACTATATTATGTGGATATTAAGATATTTGACATAAATTCTGATAAAATTTCAAGAAAGTACACTTTTTGGTAAATGTATATTATATAATAGCTACTTAACCAAAACTTAATAATAGGAAAACTGTTACTAAATTTATTTAGTAAACAAAACAAATATAATTTTAAAAGGTAATATTGTATTGGTAATATAATATATAAGATAGGTAATTTAAAATTAATTAATATTTATATTAAGAAGTATTTATAGAAATTAAATGTTAATAAAATTAAAATTTATAAATTGAATAGATAATTTAATATTTCAAATAAATTATGTACCAATTATCAAGATTACACGTGTTACTGTATTTCAAGTTCATTAGGTTCTGTATTTCAGTATACGTTTTGAAACTCGTACACTTTGTGCCAAATATGAGTATTAATAATTTTAATCAAATAATATTTAGAAATATTGATTAAAGAACTGAAAATTTTTGTATATAAAGAACAGAAATTGGTTTCAAAAGTCAATCAAACAAACAGTCGATTCTGTATTGAATTAATTGAAAGAATTGAAAAAATCTTAAAACTCCATAAAAATGATGAAAACATTGATCGC